ATCCAGTCCAACAGCAGCATGTGCCCTTGCAGCAAGGATGTAGCTGTTTGGTTGTTCTTACACATTGCTGAAATCTCATTTTTCTGCTGAGAATTAATCCTTCTTTTTGTTGTGACACAAATCAGACATCCCTGCTGAAAGCCAGGCATTTATCCCGGTAACAACTTTCTCCCTCTTCTAGAATCCTGGGGTGGTTTGGGTTGGAAGGGACCTTAAAGACTGTGTATTTCCAACCCCCTGTCATGGGCAGGGACACCAGAAGAGAGAGGAGCGTCTCTCTGTGATGTTTTTCTCCCCCTGTGCTTTCCACACTCCATTCTGTGGCACTCTTAGCCCCCTTTATCTCTGATTTCTGCCCTAGGGCCCACTGGCACTGAGCACAGCTCTGAGGGAAGCCTCTCTGGCATCCAGCAGAGCAGCAGCACTTATTTCCCAGTTTTTACATAACTCCCCTCTTGAAAATCCCCATTCCTTGAATGAGATGGGAACTTTTTTTGGCAATGGATCCTCGGTTTAAACTTGTGGTTGTTTTTGCTTCTGAATGATGGCATAGGTGATCCACCAGACCTTGTCACTCATTGCACAGGATCATTCAATCTTTAAATTTGGAAAAGACCTCTATGATCCAGGAGTCCAATCTTTTACCCAGCACTGCCAATCCCACCATTAAATATTGTCCCCAAGTGCCACATCTACACATTTCTTTGGACACTTCCAGGGATGGTGACTGCATCACTGCCATGGGCAGCTTGTTCCAATGCCTGACCACCCTTGTGGTGAAGAAATTTTACTTAAAATCCAAACTAAGCCTCCCCTGGGCCAACTTGGGGACATTTCATCTTGTGCTGTGGCTTGTTACTCCCACTTCATTATCACCTCCTTTTTCTCCCTGCTCTCTATTCACGGATTTGATCTGCTTGGATGTGTCACTCAAGGAGATCTCGCTGCTCACATCTCTGATTTCAGCCATCCCCAGGGAAAACTCTCTTCTGCTCCTCCTGCAGTTTCAACTGCAGATTGTTCCTCCATGGCTTCAGAGACCCATCCCTGACACCCTTCCCTGCTTTGGCTGGGGGAGCATCAGTCAGGTGTGGCTGTATCCACAGACCCACTGACAAAGGAAGAGATTTTGCAGGGAGCTTCCCTGGGGAAGCTGCAGTGTTTAACACAGTGCCTTGCTGTCATCCAGCTCCACTGTTCTGTTCACATCCTTGCAAGAAAAGGGCTCTCCCTGGGGAAACTGCTTCAAGAAATGATGCTTGGAAAGCCCCTCCAAGCCCCCCAGATGAGGTAGCTGAGCTTGAGACAGGAGGGTTTAGTTCTTTCCAGGGGGCTTTTTGGCATGACTAAAGATTTTTTTTTTCCCCACAGATTTTCTGTGAGCAGTGCTTGTGGTCAGGCTGGGGGAGCTGAAGGATGAGCAAAGGTGCATTACAAACCTCTGGTGCAGACAGACATCAGCTGGGGCAGGTAACAGCGAGGGAAACACTGACCCCAGCCTGCCCCTGCCCATGGCAGGGAGCTGGGACTGGGTGAGCTTTAAGGTCCCTTCCAGCCCAAACCTTCCATGAGTCTGTGAATAACTTTTTGGCCATTCCCACCTTGGGCTGACCTGAGATGAGAGAGGCTTCTCCCTCTGTTGGGGAAGATGAAACAAGAAACCCTTATAAATATGATTGCCTGGCAAAAGATTTAGAAAATACAGAGATTGAGATGGTAACAAGTTTTGAGATACCAAACCTTAGTTATGAACAAGTAGAACACAATAGCACAGCCAGGATGAAGACAATCCCCCCTTCTGGTTGAACAATGTCCTTACCTGTCGGAACTCAAAATGTCCCTCAGACATTTTCAGAGGTTCCAGGCCTTGGTCAGGAGCATTTTAGACCCTGGCAAGCAGCTGAAAACAGCTGTGATTTTGGGTTTGAGCCATGGAAGGAGTTACCAACTTTGAAGGTGGAACAAGCAGTCACAGAGGGTTTGATGGTATAGTAGAAGTAATTACAAATTAGAGGGGAAAATTTTTTAGTATTGTACAGGGGGGTTTTACTTTGTACAGGGGGGTCAGGAGTTCTAAGATGGAGGAAAGTGGGCCTGATCCTGTTCTTCCTCCTTGTTCTTCCTTGCCTCCATGTTCTTGGTGATGTTGGCACTCATGGATTGGTTTAGAGTAGAAAAGCACATTGTAACATAGGTAGTAGGTATTGGGGAAAATCTGTAAACATATAACACGTAATATATCATATAAAAGATAGCAGCAGCCCTGGGAGGGGAGAGAGAAGAAGACACCAGTGAGGGTGTCAGGAGTGTGTGTGTGTCTCTGCCTGAGCTGCTGACCAAAGCACAGCAGCCCAAGAAGAAAATCTTTTAGATAACTTGCAATAAACTGCCTTGAGACCGGACAACAAGAGGCTGCGGAGTTTTTCTTTGGAAGCACAGGTTGGAGGAGAGACTTTACCACCACACGAGACCCCTGAACCAATCCTGGGGTTCTCACACTTACCTACAGGTAGGTCCAGGGGTCAAATGGACTGTTGGATCTCACCCCAATGTATGGTTCATCCCACACCTGTAACCCTCCCCTGAAGCATCAGGAGTCTGTGACCCCATTGGCCTGAGTCTTGTTCCAGCCCACCTTGAAGCCCCTGACAAGGAGTCCCTGAGGAGCCAAACGCTCTCTTGGAACTTCCATTCTCTTGGAACTGCCCCTCTCCTGGAACATCCTCTTGGGATGTCTCTTATCTCCCTCTACCCCTTGCCTCTCCCTTCCCCCACGCCCTCGGGCCTGCCACGGGTCAGGTCTGGTGACTCCAAGCAGGGCCTTTCACCCTCTCTAACAAACCAGATATTCTAAGAGCAGCCTCCAGAGATCTCTCATCTCCATCCACCCAAACCATCCTGGAGCCCATCATCCCCACATCCCAGCACTGTTTTTCCCAGGGAGGTCATTCTGCCCCTGTGCCTGGCACTGCTGAGGGCACACCTCGAGTGCTGTGCCCAGCTCTGGCCCCTCAGTTTGGGAACCACGTTGAGACACTTGAGCACATCCAATTTAGGTTGGATTTTAGGAAAAAGTTTTTTACAGAAAGGTGATAAAGTTCTGGAATGGCTGCCCAGGGAGGTGGAATCACCATCCCTGGGTGTGTTTAACAAAGCCTGGATGTGGCACTGGGTGCCAGGGTTGAGTTGAGGTGTTGGGGCTGGGTTGGACTCGATGATCTTGAAGGTCTTTTCCAACCTGTTCATTCTGGGAATTCTGTGAAACAGGCACCTGATGTTATTTTCCCCACTCCTGCACATTTTCCAGCTCAGACAGCTGAGGTTTGATGACTGCTTTGAAGCTGCTGCCTCGGCTGGAGATGTGAGGGCAGCTCCAGTAGGTGACAGCTTGTGCTTCCCATCCTCCCTCCTGCCTCAGCCTGACACAGCCATCCTCCCCTCCCACCTTGCACTGTGCAATTTTCAACAGAGCATCAGGATAAGCTCTGAGCATTTAGGAAAACAGGGCTGTGCTTTCACACAATTTACAGAGCCGGACTGGGATAATTTAGAATCAGCCTCTGTCTCCCCTTCCCTTCCTTGAATAGTGGTTTAGGCTCCCTGCAAGCTAAAATTGAATGTTCAGAGGCCACACAGAGCTCACTGGTACAGTAGCAAGCTTGCTTTTCCCATCTCTGTGTTTCCTTCTTTACAGCAGTGCAGCTCTTTTATAACAGCCTCTAGGCTGTTGGTTGATAAAAACAATAAAGCTGTAGCTGCTGCTCATTTAAAGAAAGAAAAGGAAATAAAATAATAATCACAGAATTGTTATGAACTTCGAAAATGCTATTGAAAAAATGACTTTTTTTTCCTGCATTGTTCCAGAACTCCCTAAGAATAGAATAGGGGAGTAGAAAGTTTGTAGGAATCGACAGTGCTGAGGTTTGTTTTGATAAAATATTAGCATTTAAAGAGCACTTTGACCCATCTCTAATTGCTGCCATTCTCAGCAGGGCTGTGGCAGGTGGGACCTCTCAGAATCCCAGAATGGATTGGGTTGGAAGGGACATTAAAACTCATCCAGTTTCACCTTCCACCATCCCAGGTTGCTCCAAGCCCCATTCAACCTGGCCTTGGACACATCCAGGACCCTCACAGGAGAGAATTTCTTCCTAATATCTAATCCAAATCTTCTCTCTTTCAGTCTAAAGCCACTGCTCCTTGTCCTATCCCTCCATCCCTTGTCCCCAGCCCCTCTCCATCTCTCCTGGAGCTCCTTCAGGCTCTGGAAGGGCTCTGAGCTCTCCCTGGAGCCTTCTCCTCTCCAGGTGAGCACCCCCAGCTCTCCCAGCCTGGCTCCAGCCCTTGGAACATCTCCGTGGCCTCCTCTGGAGCTGCCCCAGCACTGCAGGAGGGGTCCCACAAGGGCAGAGCAGAGGGGGAATCACCTCCCTGGACCTGCTGGTCCAGCCCTTGTGTTCAGCCCAGGATGTGCTCCACTTGCTGGAGGATGAGCTGCCTCTCTCTTTATTGCCCAGGTTCTTAATGATCCAATTTCTGCTTCACTGATCATCACACATCAGTTCTCAGGAGGTACCTGCTCTAAAGCTCAAAATGATATCAGGGAAAAGAACCCACCATTATGACTAATTAGTGGCTCTGCTTCAACATTTCTGACTGTCTCCAGGATGGAGCTGATACCTATTTTGGTACTGAGATCCCTAAAAATGGGTGACAGCATACAAACCCAGTGCTTGTGTGATCCAGCCTGTCAGCAAGCACATCAAATTCATTATTTTAAAAAACATCACAACAAAGTGTCACAGCTGACAACCTGGTTATGAAAAAGTTAAAAGAAGAACTTGATTTTTCTGTAAAGTTGAAATTTAGAAAATCTGGCTCCCTTTGCTGCCTTGTAGCTGACTCATTGCAGGCAGATAAAAAAACATTTATCCCCCAGCACCCGAAGACTTTCAGGAGAACAAGAGTGATGTGGAATCAAATGAGATGAGGCCATAACCTTTACAGAATAGGAAAGAAAATGTATTATTTGTGGACTGGTTTTACCCCCTGGACAATGAGCTGTAGATGATTTCCTTCCTTTTCATACGAATGAAGGTGAGAAATGCCTGTGCCCCAACAGCATCCAAGGAACTGAAAGAATTTGAGGAGAAACTGGATCTTGGAGAGACTCAGGTTTAACATCAAATCATAAACTAGAGCCTGACCTTTTCCCTGGCACGCTGCAAAGGTTTAGAAATGCCTGTCAAGGAATTCTTCTCCTTTTAATTTACATTTTCCATATTGGCTGGGTAACATTCATCAAATTGCACTTTCATCCTGCATCCCATGGGGAGCATGGATTGCAGATAATCTGATTTTTGCAGCTGAGAACGTCTTTGTTTTGCTATCAGAGGTGCAGGAGTTCCTTGCAGCTCCAACACCCCCAGGGCCCTGTGTGGCCAGGAACCAGGGATCCCAGTGGGATTTAATTTTTAGGGCAGTCTTGCCCTCATGAATTAAAGGAGAGGCAAAAGAGGAGGGGAAATCCAAGCCAGGAGGAAATAGCCAAGGTTGGGTGGCTCCTCCTCAGCTGCTGGAGCTGCAGAGCACCCCTGCTTTGCCATGGTCACCCCATTGCTGGGCACGCCCAGCCAGGAGGGGGAGGATGCTAAATGGGAACCACAGAATCAAAGAACAGCCCAGGCTGAAAGAAATCTTAATCATCTTCTCATGGAAAGGCAGCTTAGGTGAGGCTTTCCATCATTTTCCAGCCTCACCTTGAAATCCTCCAGCACATCCCTGGGGAAGTTGTTTCCATGATTCTCACTGTCAAGATAAAACCTTTTCTGGGCGACTTGTAGCCATTCCTTGTTGTCTTCTCCATGGTTCTGTGGGAAGATAAAGCCTCCATCCTCTTTGTGGCACCTTTCAGCCCTGGGGTGCTGTGAAGAGGGGCCCCCTGAGCCTCCTCATCTCCAGGCAGCAAGAACACAAACTGCTCCAGTCTTTCCTCACAGGGCAGGAGCTTCCAGGTGGGAAGGAGCCTGCCAGGAGAGCAGAAAGCCAAGGAGGTGGGCTGAAAGGGGTGGCTTGGAAAACACCCCCTTCTCCAAAAAAAAAAAAACAAACAAAACAACCAAAAAACAAACAAACAAACAAAAAACCACAAAAACCAACCAAAAAAACCCCAAACAAACAAAAAACAAAAAAAAAAACCTACAAAAAAAACCCCCCAAAAAACACAAAAAAAAAAAAAAACCCCAAAAAACCCCCCCCAAAACCCCCCCAAAAACCACAAAACAAAACAAAAAACCCCCAAAAAACCAAACCCAAAAAGCAGATGCTGCATTCACTAACAGGGAGAGGCAGCCCTGCAGGTGTGGGGTCCATCCCCTGGAATGTCCAACCCTTTTGGTCCCTGTGTCCCTGGCTGCCCTGGACACGGGCAGGGAGCGGAACTGGCACAGGGAATGTGCCTGGTCACACACCTGCCATCTTGGCACCACTTTTATATCTTCTTTTTTTTCCTTCCCCTCCTGGAGATGTAACATTTGTCCACAGTTCTTTCTCCTCGTGTACTTGAGCCAAAGCTCAATTTAAAATGATGTTGCTTGAAAAAAGGTGAACAGCAAAGCTTTTGGAGGAAAAAACTATTTAAAAAACACAATAGGGAATGTGTGAGGACATAACCTAGAACTCAACTATTCGACAAATGCTGATTTCCCTCTTTTATTTTCCTGTGCTGATCACATATTTCTGCATTTTCATGGAAGAAAAAATAATCACTGACTAGAATTATCATGAATACTTATCCTGTATTCAGGTGTGGAGCCACCGGTTCCTTTCTCAAAGGAAACTCAGGAATAATTGGGCAATGAAGAAATTGCTTGTGAAGGACCAAAAGAGAATTTTTTTTACCTGGAGGAAGGCGTTATCCATGGACCTTTGGAGCACAATCCTGGCAGGGGACTCGGATGTCCAAAGCTGTGGTGATGCTCTTCCTTGAGACAATAATGTCATTTAAATTTCCCCTGCGGTGCCTTTAAAGGGCAGCGCTGCACGGCTGCACCATCTCGTGGTGTGAGCGGGCCCTGCACGGCCACAGCCTTCCCAACCCTGGTTTTTCCAAGACTTTTCCAAGACTGACACATCAAAGCCAAACGCTGCCACTGCCAGACCATGGCAGGGCTTGGAGCACCAAAATCCCCAGCCATGAAACCCTCCAGACTTTCCTCCCTCATGCTCCTCTTTGGGATGCAACAATCCAATTGTTTTCCAAGCATCAGCAAGCCAAGGATTTGCCTGACCCCTCTGGTTGTTATTCCAAGACCTTTCCAGAAGGAAAGGAAAGGAAAGGAAAGGAAAGGAAAGGAAAGGAAAGGAAAGGAAGGAAAGGAAAGGAAAGGAAAGGAAAGGAAAAAAAAGGAAAAGGAAAGGAAAAAGGAAAGGAAAAAGGAAAGGAAAAGGAAAGGAAAAGGAAAGGAAAAAGGAAAGGAAAAAGGAAAGGAAAAAGGAAAGGAAAAAGGAAAGGAAAAAGGAAAGGAAAAAAGGAAAGGAAAAAGGAAAGGAAAAAGGAAAGGAAAAAGGAAGGAAAAGGAAAGGAAAAAAGAAAGGAAAAAAGGAAAGGAAAAAGGAAAGGAAAAAGGAAAGGAAAAAGGAAAGGAAAAAGGAAAGGAAAAAGGAAAGGAAAAAGGAAAGGAAAAAGGAAAGGAAAAAGGAAAGGAAAAAGGAAAGGAAAAAGGAAAGGAAAAAGGAAAGGAAAAAGGAAAGGAAAAAAGGAAAGGAAAAAGGAAAGGAAAAAGGAAAGGAAAAAGGAAAGGAAAAAGGAAAGGAAAAAGGAAAGGAAAAAGGAAAGGAAAAAGGAAAGGAAAAAGGAAAGGAAAAAGGAAAGGAAAAAGGAAAGGAAAAAGGAAAGGAAAAAGGAAAGGAAAAAGGAAAGGAAAAAGGAAAGGAAAAAGGAAAGGAAAAAGGAAAGGAAAAAGGAAAGGAAAAAGGAAAGGAAAAAGGAAAGGGTCACAGAGCTCCAGGCCTGTGATGCAGAGCCAAGGGCAGGACCTGTACGTGCTCAGCCTCAGCCCTGCTCCTACACAGCACCTGGTCCCTCTCAGCTGCCACTCTTTTCCAACCAAAATGGTTCTGTAATTCTGTCATTAAATGGGTTCTTTAGGTCTTGACAAAAATCTTGCTTTTTCTAGATGCGTTTGCTTGTGAAGGAAAAAGATGCACTAAAACCCCCACAGATAAATTTATACAAATCTCTGGTTCTCTGTCTCTGAGGCTACAGCAGGTGTTAGCCAGGGGATTAGGTAGACATTAGAAAGAAAGAAAGCTAACAGCATTTATAAAATAATTTTCCTATTAAATGTGGCAGCACATTTCTCTCCCTCTCAGGATTTTTCATAGAGGTGCACAGAGAGAAAGAGAAAACAATTTCTATTTCTGCTCCTTGTTTTTCCTATGTGGAATGTGTTTGGAGAATTGTTTACCTGGGGTGAGTGCTTGGTTGGATTCTGGTGCGGATTGTTGGAGCCTGATGGCCAATCCAACCCACCTGGGGCTGGACTCTCAGAGAGGGTCATGAGTTGTGAGTTAGATATAGTAGAGAAAGTAGTATGTAGTTTTAGTATCTTCCTTTATATAGTATATTAATGTATTATAGCATAGTTATAATAAAGAAATCATTCAGCCTTCTGGAGTCACACATCACAGGGTTCACCTGCATTTACAAGAACAGGCAGGTGAGGACCCAAATTGCTTCAGGGATGCTGTGGATGTCACCACCCAAGGGGTGCTGCATGCAGGGCCTGGGAGGGCTTTGCACAGACCCCAGCAGCCACCATCAGGTTTCCTCCTGCCCCCTTACCCTCTCACAATCCAGCATCTTGCTCCACCTTACAGGCTTCAGTGGCTTTGGAAAGCAGCCAGGTGGGTTTCTCCAAACCTCAGCAGGGTAACCAAAAGGAACAGGAGCTGAGCCTTTCTGCCAAATCTGCTGGCAGAGGAAGAAGGCCTTGGTGCTCAGCAGTCAAGGCTTTCATCTTTACTAAAGCCCAGCAGCTCCCAAGAGTTGAGAAGAATGGAATGAGAACTTTCTGGCCTGATCTCTGAAGTCTTTGCTTCCCCCTCCCAATGTTTTCCCCAAGGAGAATGGCATGTGGACAGAGAAAGGGGGATTTCTGGGAACAGACCTGAACTATTTGCATTATCAGACATGAAGAGAATGAAAAAAATAACACAGATAGTTTATTGTCAAACTGAATCAAAGCATGAAAAAAAGTTACAAGGTTACACCGTAAAGAAATTTGGTTTTCATCACAAAAGCTCATTAAAATCCAAGAAAACAACCCATTGTCAAGCCAGCAACTCCCCAACAACCCCCCCTGAGCTTTTGAGTGCAACATTTATTGCAAGGCTGGGAATTCAGAGGTGGTGACATCACATTTGTAGGGACAAAAGGATCACCCCTCGTTATCTGGAGGGACAGAGGCTCTCGGAGGGGTGACACGTGTCTGGCTGAGCGGTGACTCCTCTGTTCCCTTTGAGCAGCAGAGGCCTTGTCCTTGCTGGGAAGGCTGATGAGTGCCAGCTGTGCTCGTGTCCAGCTTTTCCTGCCTTTCCATCCCCACCAGGAGCATCCACACCATGAAATCACAGCCTGGCTGCAAACCTGAGCGATGCTGGTTTGGGGACAGCAGTGGGAGGCACCACGGGGGGACACAGCCACAGCCACCAGCACCCAAACTCATCCTGATCCCATTTTAGCCATGGCCAAACCTCATCACCTCCACCTCTGGGTGGGCTGCAGAGGGAATTCTGCCCCAAAAAACTCCTGCAGCTTTCCAAGGCTGCCAAGCTCTCCAAAGCAATGGGTTACCCACGGATTATTCCAGCTCCAGCAGCTCCAGAGGAGTCCAGAACATCCCTGGGCTCCTGCCAGTACGGCTGGGCTGATGGGAAGTCTGCATGGCAAAAGTTGCTTGCCAGGAGAACTGCTGGAGGCTGCATCCCACCTGGAACAGCCCCATCCCATCCTGCAGGGATGGCTGCCTCTCCTTCTGAGTCAAAAGACAACAAAAAACAAAGGAAAAACCACTGGAAAGCCTCCAGGTTGTGTATTCAGTTCTGCAGACACTTGGTTTCTCTCAGCACAGAACAACTGGATTTTTCTCACCACTATAAATGAGCTGTTTTATGAATTTTGAAACACTTGTTTTACCAAGTGCAAAAAAAAAAAAAAAAAAAAAGAGGCATCTTTATCCTAAGTAGCAGCTAAAGAGATTGGTAAAATTAAAATCAAAACCAAAACAAAATCAAAAACCTGACCAACCAGTACAAAGTAAAGGCAGGGCAGGTCATCCAACCATTCACAGGACTAACTAAAAAATATTTTTAATTGCAACTAATGTGCTAATCTTGAGCCAGCTGCTAATTCCAACAGGCCTGAGGTTTTCTGCTCATAAAGCATCAATAATATGTGCCTTTTCCTAGAAAGGAAGGCTCTGCCTAAGTCTACTGTGTCAGATAAAAAGTCCCAAAATAGATTTTTCCAACCAAATAAAGTGTTTTATTCAGATATTCACGTGGATATGGCAGTGATGTTAAGAACAGCTATTCAAGTAGCTGAAGTAAGCCCTTCAAAAGAAGCCACACAGCTTTGAGACTTGAACAAATTATTGTATGACCTCATCCAAAAGATCTAAATAGCTGGAACATCTGCAAGAGTCGCCACCGATTTGTTTAGCAGAGTTCATCAGTAGTTCATCAGCTCTGCTTGCACAGGCAGGTGCCAGGGCAGCCACCCAGGAGTCCTGCATGTGACAGAGGGGACAGGGTGGGACAGGGATGGGGGATTTTTCCCTCTACCAGGAGTTGCATCAGCAGGAGTGAAGTCCCTGCTGAATCAGGGCAGTGCCTGTTGCTGAAAGAGAAGTGCAGAAATGCTTTTTCCCAGAGAAGTATTACATGCACAAGTAACTATATTGTTAAAACTTTTTATTTGTGACAGTAAAGAAACCATTCAATACCTGATTGACAACACTTCTCTCTCCTGCAAACACTCATATGGTATCTGTAGTGTTTCTCAAGTATTGCTGGATTGTTCATTGCATCAAAGTGTAAACAGCTCCATCATAAGGAAAAAAAAAAGGAAAAAAAGAAAGGAAGAAATAAAGAAAGAAACATTTCCATTGCTTACTCCTCTGCTGAGGAGCTCCCAATAGATCTTTAACAAGAAATAGGAGAGAGTCAGCTGGGATTTTACAACATCATGTGGAACAGAAAACTGACAGCTGGTTTTGCATAGTTAGCCCAGAGATTTTGAAGCAATCGCCCCACGCCAGTCTCACCTGCCCCTCCTCACCCCACAAAGGCAAAAAAAACATCACAGCACCTTGGAATCAGAGGCACAAACTTGTTTTTGTTTTACAAATAGGGCTGTGAGGACCGGTGGTTTATTAGGTCAAAAACAATCTGTCCAACAGAGGGTTCCGCCTTCGGAAGTCACAGAGCTACAGATTCTTTTTCTTAATTTTTTTTTTTTTTTTTAAAACATCAAAATTTCAAAAGCTGCAACATCAGCACACACCAGTGTCATTTAGATACTTTATTGTCCCCAACCAGTCTAATCAAAATCATGCTGTAAGAAAAGTGATTGTGAACACTGACAACCAAAAACGTCTCCAGGTGTTGAGTTTCTTCCACGCAGAACTTTTGCTGTTTGAATAAAGATCAAAAGGGCGAAACAAAGAGACAAATTATTCTTCCAAAGCTACCTAAATGAACACAGCAATATTGTACATTTGCCACCATGTCCCCGTGCCCAGCCTGCCACGCCTCCTGGTGTGAACAAGGATTCAGCACAGCCCTAAGGTTACAAATGGCAATTAAAGGGTTAACGCTTCCGGTGCGTGTCAAGGGTCTAAGGCATTTTCTGCCTTTCAGCTGAACTTAAAAATACCCATACAGGCAAAAAAACCGTTTTTTAACCCAACATAGAAAGGACAACAGAACTTCAGGCCAGGCAGCATGTCTTTAAAATGATCAAATGAGAAAAAGACTTTTTAATATTTCTATAATATCCAGAAATAGAAGTGAAACCCAGGGTTTAGAACAGCCCTGGTGACCTGCATGCAGTAACTGCACTTCAAAATATGCAAGAGATTTAGGAAACAAGGGTTTGGGGTTTTTTTGTTTTTTTTTTTTTTCCTATTTGAATTTTTTTTTTTTTTAAATCTTGTATTTAAAATACAATCAAATACCCGTATTGCAAATTTTACAAACATTCCACTCGTTCTCTGACTTTATGGACAGAACTCTATTGCTTTTTTAGAATCTAGA